TCAGAGCCTCCGTGTGTGACGCTTCTATCAGTTATTTTTCAAACATACTTTATGTCGGGGCTGCAGCTCACTCGTGCAGCCCAGGGTGCTGCGTAGCCGCTGTGCTTGTGGTTTAACAGCACCGTGCTGGAGGTGCTGGTAAACAGTTGTGTTTACAGTGTTTGTGCTCTTAAAGACCTCACAGCACGATAAAGGGGGGCGGGGGGGAATTAGCATGTTCTCCCAGATGTTGTGTTTACATCAATGCTGGGTCAATACCTGTGTCTCCTGCAGAGTCATTTGACCCGAGAGTGAATATGATTGTACCCTTTTCCATTGCAGACAAAAGCCAGTGGTTAGTGGGTCTTAGCAGGTTTTTTGACCAGTGGAAAAGGGACTTGAGAGGCTATGTAAGGGTTGTTGTATGCCTGTTTGACTGGCGAGTCTCTCAGCCTATAACATTCATGCTGCAATCACACCCACAGATAATAACAGTCTCTGGGCCCCCGTGAGTCTGTAGCTCTGCTCCAGCTGAACACTTGTTTGATGTAGCTGCTGCACAGCGGTCGAACAACTGTGTTCGTTGTGCTGTTGAATTGTTGTCAGGTTTAGCTAACTATCTGAGGCTCATGCCAATGCTCAGTTTAATGCAGGCCGGAGACAGAGTGTCAGACAACCAGCAGTAGCTACTGAAAGACCTGTAAATAGACACTGTGTCACCAAGCTTCCAGGAACACTGTTTGTGAGAATGAGCCTTGGATGAATTTGTGGCCACCCTGAGTCTGGTTCTACTTGAGGTTTCTGCCTCTTAAAGGGAAGTTTTTCCTTGCCCCTGTTGCCAAGTGCTTGCTCATGGTGGGAATTGTTGAGTGTCTGTAATTAATACTACACAGAGTACGGTCTAGACCTGCTCTATTTGAAAAGTGCCTTGAGATAACTTCTGTTGTGATTTGGCCCTACATAGATAAAAATTGACCTGATTTGATTAAAAGAACTGTAAGGGTCGGGTTATGCCTTAAAAAAGTCACGGATGTCGCAAATTAAAAGTGTTTACAGCTGTTATGAATAAGAATTCCAAAGCCGTCCATCGTAGAGAGGGTGACATGATGTCGTTAAAATATGGGGATATATGGCAGAAGTTCAAACCCTGGTTCCTTTTTCACCTCTTCACATCACGGTGTGAAGTGTGTGTGTGTATATGTGTGTAGTAAATTCAATAAGAAACTGTCTGCTGTTTCTCCTCTTTCTTGATAGGTAGCCTGTGCCCTTAAGCAAGGGGTTTACACTCCTATCAGTTGTTAGGGTGCTGCGAGAAAACAACGTGTGTGCTTAGTCAACCTTACCCGAATAAATAGAGGTTAAAAAAATATTTACAGAGATGGAGTCAAGATGATAAGGAAGTGAACTACCGTGTGTATGTGTGTGTGTGTGTGTGTGAGAGAGAGAGATGGAGAGAGAGAGTAATTTCTAAGTCTTTCTAATGTCATCTAGTTTAATGAGATTAACACTCCAACTCAAATCCTGTTAAACACACACACACACAGAAAAACACGTGGGATAAAAGAGGAAGTGAGACATCTGCTGAAAAGGAAGTGTACACTTTGGTTTCTTTCTTTCTTTCTTTCTTTCTTTCTTTCTTTCTTTCTCACACACAGTCTCTCTCGTTCACATTCTCTCACACACACACACACACACACACACACACACAAAGGCAGAAATCTGATAGCTGTGTGTAATAAAAGATGGTGCGGGTGATAAAAGAGAGAGGAAGGGAGTGTTCCTCTGTCTTTGCTTAGACAGGGCAGCAGGTAAACGGTGACATCAGTGCAGTGTGTGTGTGTGTGTTTCTGATAGTGTGCGGTTGTCCATGTAATTTGTGTGCGTTTCAGCAGTGAGTACACTCACACACACTGTACACCTGTCAGCAGTCTTCTTAACCTTTGATCAACCAGCATCTGTTGTTGTTTTTATTGTTTTATTGTTTTAACTTAACTTGTATTTATACTCCTGCTGAAAACCATGTAAACCACTTTGAAAAGTGCTGTACAAATGCTGTACAGTTATTATTATGTAACAACTGTAACTCAGTTGGTTTTCTCTATGGGTGTAATAAGAGAGCTGGATATGGCACATTGCATGATGCCAAGACCACACTGCTTGCATAAAATGCCACTGTCTCCACATACTGCTGCTAAAATTATTATATTATATGTGAATATGATATCAACAGTCTTTTCTCTGTCTATTTCACGTGGGAAAGTAGGCGAGACACAGAATCTGCAGCCTGTTAATACGACACACATACAGTGTGTTCTTGGCCTTAGCTTTGTTTCCAAGTTGTCCTAGTGGCCAGCTGTGGTACTGTAGGTGTTAAACATGTTTTCCCCATAGCCCACCATTATAAAAAAAAAAATGTCTAAACTGTTGGCAGGACACCTCGAATAAAAACTGGGTAGTTGAAAAGATTGCAAAACTTTCCAGAGCCTAGACACTCAATTTTCATGTAGATGATATTTTTAAACTAGGTCTAAGAAGATACTAATTAAATATATGTTTCAGCTCAGTGACAGAGTGACGGCCTGGTGTTGTGTGTGCATGGCTGAGGGTGGTGACTGTACAGTTGTGTCATAAAAATTACAGAAGTCCTGACGGCTCGTTTTAAAGTTCAATTTCTGAACAGGCTGTGTGCATTTAACAGCATCACCAACTACTCTGTCCCATTCACCCGCTCTCAAACACACACACACACACACACACACACAGGTCAGCGGACCACGTCTGTCCCTGTGCTGGCAGATATACAGACAGAGTCGACAGCTGGAGGTTAATGTTAGCTGAGCTGTAGTTTGACCATTTTGGAGAAATTTAAAAATAACAAACGCATCCAATCTAGTGATGATAGAATCAACATGGAATTATCTGCATGTATGTTAGTGTGTATGTGTATGTGAAAATCTGTGTGCACCTTTATATGTGCTATTTTATTATGTATGTGTATATATTTGCTGTATTTCGGGGCAAATGTGTGTGTATGTATGTACATGTGCACTCATACTATATGTTACTGTGTGCGATGATACAGTTTGTGTATATTTGCCCCTATGGGTGGATTGAACTCTTCCTGGCCCGTAGGTCTTAAGATCATGTATTTGAGCTTTTAGTAGTCAAAGCAAATATATACAAATATGGTTGCATTTTAAATGTCTGTAAAAAAAAAAAAAAAAAAAAAAACTGTCGGTCCTAAAAAGCTCCAAAAAACATCTGCAAATCCAGCAACTTCTGACTGCTTAGTCTAGAACCCAAAGTAGAGGAACCTGTGTGTGTGTGTGTGTGTGTGTGTGTGTGTGTGTGATTATTTTTGTGTGTTTGTGTGTGATCACAACTTAATCACATGATGCATCACATTGCCCAGTCTGCCTCCATACCCGCTCTATTTCACTTCCTTTATTCTACATGATCTCTCTCTCTCTCTCTCTCTCTCTCTCTCTCTATACCTTCTCTAAAGTTGATGCAGAGGGTTTGGAATTTGTTAGTCTCTCCCTTCCTCTTTACTGCAAAATGTCCTTCTTGTCATATCTGTCTCTTTCCCCCAATCTATTTATTTATTCTCTCTCTCTTGCTGTGTCTCACTTCATAATTTAACCTCCCTCTCTTGTTGTTTTTTTCTTTTTTCCATCACTGTCTCTCTCTCTCTCTCTCTCTCATTATTTGTGAAGAAAACTATAGTCTGTTCAAGCCTGAATGATTATTTTTGCGTACAGTTCTTTCTTGTTCATGTTAATCTAAATCTAATGTTAGTTAATGTAAACAGTTCCATCTCTTTTGGAAACCTCAAAGCAGGTTACACTGCAGAGTAACTGTGTCTTCAAGTCACTGAAATCTGCTGCTTCATCTCACTGACTGATCTTTTTTTCTTCTCTTCTCCACTTTTCCTCTCCCTCCCATCTCAATACACAATTAAATGATTATTATTAGCATGTCTGATACAACAGAGACACACGGAGTGTAAGGACTGAAGCTAATGCTGCTAAAGCAGTTCACATAATGTCCATGTTGTAATCCAGTGAGTCAGATCTTGCTGAGAATATTTATTTTTTGACTGTAAATTTGTCTTAAACTGTGACCTTATAATCATCCACCCTGTATAAGAACAAGACTGACACACACAGGACTGCCATATTAACTGTGCTGTCTCAGTGTGATTACTGTAAACAAACATGGTCACGTGAAGACAATTTTTAGCCTCAGTCTAACATCAGTGGTGTTGTTACAGCTCAGGTTTCTCCAGATTCAGACACATTTACTGTATGTTGGGGCATTTGCTTTCAGGAACATTTTAAAAGCTCTTTGTTATCTTTTTTTTATGCTGTTAAGTAAAAATTTAAAAAAAGTTTAGCCCCTCAGGTTCACTGCTTGCATCTGTGTCTCATCCCAACTGACTGAACTTTCCCAGACCTCAGCTCTACAAAAGCAAAAATGCAACTTGAAACTTTTGTCCTAATATCTCAAGAAGGCTATTCAGTCATTTTGAAGTTTCTGTGGTATCTGTACTCAAGTACAGTCCTTGAGAGATACTTGTATTTTACTGTAATTGTATTTCTATTTTATGTTACTTTATATTTAGAGATGGTTTTTGTGTCCTTTTCTACATTATTGTTTTACAGCTTCAATTCTAGTTACTTTTTTTTCCCCTACATCTTCATCTTTCCCACGACATTAATCACCTCACGACACCCCAGGTTTATCTTGTGACCTCTTGGAAGGGGCATGACCCACACTGTGGGAACTATTTAACAACTTAACAGTATATAAAGTAGTTAAAACTACAGTAGCTCCACCTCAATCAGCTGTAACACTATAACTCCGTGTATGAATAAAGGACTTTAACTTGTAATACAGTATTTCTACATTGCCGTATTGGTACTTTCAGTAAAAGATCTGACAACTTCTTCCTCCACTGTAAATGACTCGTTACAGTTCAATTACAGTCTCTCTCTCTCTCGCTCTCTCTTACTGTGCAGTACACAGGTCCGATCCCGGCCGAGCGAGGGGGCGAGCTGGCCATGGGGGGAGGTCGCAGCGAGACCTCGGCACTGAGCGGGACGGGAGGGGGGCGAGGCATGACCACCACCCAGAACTCCCAACGGCCCAACGCCTGCTGCTTCTGCTGGTGCTGCTGTTGCAGCTGCTCATGGTAGGAGAAAAACACACACACACACACACACACACACACACACACACACACACACACACACACACACACACACACAGCATTTACACAGACATCTACACATAAAAGCCTAGGAGTACTGTTAACACAGCTGTAAAAGACTTGAAATAATGATACATTATCATTGTCGTAATATAAATTAAATTTATCAAGGAACAACAAATGTAAAAAGGACCCAATAAAGTTGTTTTAGTTTCTGTTAATAGTTTCTTTATGGTTCTGAGTGAGATGTTACAGTTGTCCTGCTGTTGAAGCCTCTATTGAAAGAATAAATATTTTGTTGTGTAACATTTCACTCGTTGATTATCACCTATACTAGATGTTTGTTTGAGCTTGAGCACAAGAGTGTTGCTGTGATGTCACTACTAACAGCAGCCACCATGTTTATGTTCTTTAATTCAATCATATATATTCCCTCCTCATTCATCAGAGGGAGCAGAAAGTTTAGCTTTAGCTTCGGCTACATTTTCTGTATGACAGAATTTTCAATGTTAATCAGAGGGAGCAGGCTGCTGAGGCTTTCTAACAGTGGCTTCGTCTTGTCTTCCTTTGCAACAATCTCCACCAGCATCAGAAATATGTAGCAGGAAACAAGTGCTGACCAGTCATGCTTCTTGCAGTTTTTCACTCTGTGTACTTACAGCCTCTGCAGCCCTGACACATACAGTATATATTTCTTAGGAAGTACACATCAGCTGTTTTTTTGTTTTTTTGTATTGTTTCGAGGCTTTGTTTGAGAGCTGCACAGGTTTTAGATTTACTTATACTTTTTTTTTTTGCTCATTCACTCTTGCTACATCACACACACTGAGCATTAGTCAGCCAGTAGCTGCACAGTGATTAGGTCTCTTTAGTTCCCACAGGGGAACTAATTATTTATAGCGCGCTCTCTCTCTCATTCGCTGTCTCTCACACACACACACACACACACACACACACACACACACACACAAAAGGTGTAGACACCTGTAACTCCTGCTTAACTTGGCTGTTAACATAACTGTGGTTAGTGTCATTAAATGGGGTAGTGACATCGTTGTGTGTGATTGTGCATGTGTTTATGGGCTCTGAGAGCAATTACTCTCCTGTCAGCTGTGGTGTGTGTGTGTGTGTGTGTGTGTGTGTGTGTGTGTGTGTGTGTGTGTGTGTGTGCGTGTTTCCTGTCTGAAAGCTGTTTTATCATGTCAGTCTCACCATCAGGAATGAAGAGGAGCGACGGAGGCGGAGGAGGAGGAAGAGAATATCACAGGACACCAAGATGGAAACCATACCAAACTGTGAAGCTTGGTGAGTCTGCAGAGCCAACACATCTGGCCTATACTTGGGCCACATGCTTGTTTTCTTATGGCCCAGTAAATGCCCGGTTCAACAGCCCAAAACTGGCCCACATACAGCGTGAAAGTCATTCAGCACATAAACACAAAACAGCGGATGAATTTGTAAACAAATCCAAAACCATCTCTCCACTCTTCCCTCCTCAGCACCAAACCCTCAATGGAAGAGATTCGGCTCTGGTCTCAGTCCTTTGACAAGCTGATGAGGAACCCGGCGGGCCGGAACGTTTTCCGGGAGTTCCTGCGGACGGAGTACAGCGAGGAGAACATGCTGTTCTGGCTGGCCTGTGAAGACCTCAAACAGGAAATAAACAAGAGCACTGTCGAGGAGAAAGCACGCTCCATATATGAGGACTATATTTCCATATTGTCGCCAAAAGAGGTAGGTTACAATAGCTTACAGAAAGTTGGACAGTTGAAACACAATCTATTTTGTGATCTGTTGCTATCCATGTTTAGATTTTTTTTGTCTTTTAGATTTGATTTGAAGGGACGTGTCCGAAATCACTCACTACTTCCTATATAGTCCACTATATAGGGAGTTCCCCATTTTGTAGTGCTGTCTGAATGTATAGTGAGAGTAAGGGGTGGGTGATCTGGCCAAGAGATCATATGACAATCTTTTTAGTTAGAAGTCGTATCTATGCGCTGCTTTGACGCTTCTTTCGGATGTTTGTCTGCTTGCCACTATTCCTCGCCAACAATGTGCTGTGTGTTTACAAATTGTGTCATAACCAATCTCACATTTTGCTCAGTTCATGTGGAGTATTAGTTCAGACGGTGCTGTTATTTATTTATGAGGTGCTCTATATAAGTACTTTAATTTGAAAGTGAAGTCGCTGCCCTGGCTCGTCCCGCTTCATGTTTCCCTGCCTGCAGACATGTCTCTAGTCCCGCAGATGGACTGTAACTCCACCGTCTTGGACTGCAGCTAGTGACAATGGTTCTTGTTCTACTACACTTGTTCTGCTACATGTGCTGCTACGCCAAGCTCGCCGAGGCTGCAGAGCAGAACAAGGATTGCCGTCACCAGCTGCAGTTAGCGGGCAAGCTGTTTACCAGTAGACAGTGGGCTGACGACTGAATTTTTTTAATTAAATATCTAAATATAGAAACTTTTAATGATAATGATGAAGAAAAACGGCGCAGAGAAAATGACCCGAGTGTTGTCTGAAAGTGTTTTTTAATTTTGCCGATGAACTCACTGTATAGTCCTCTACATAGCACTCCCTGGACAGTGAGTTGGGGGAAGTGAATGAGTGAGTGATTTCAAACACAATCTAGGTCATGCTTTCTGGCAGCTGACTCAAGGATGAACTGATTAGATTCTGGTGACCAAAGGTCAAAGGTCAAGGTCACTGTTACCTTACAAAACATAAGTTTGGCCACAACATCTCCGGAATGTCTCAAGGGAATCCCTACAGATTTGGCACAAACGCTCACTTGGACTCAAAGATGAGCTTATTAGATTTTGGTTCTGAAAGGTCAAAGGTCACTGTGACCACACAAAACACTGTTGTGTAACTGTAACTAGAGTGGTTGGCGGAGGCGTACAACTGCGAGGTGGTAATTCTAGTTTCTGCTGAGAAATGGGGGAAGCATTGTCTGCTTAACTGCTATTTTTAACTCTGTATGTGTGTGTATGTATGTGTGTTTAACAGTGGTTGCTTTATTTAGCATTAGTGCTGGAGGGTTGTCAGGCTCCATCATTGGAGAGTGTGTGTGTGTGTTGGCATGTTTAGACACTGGTGTGTTTATAGTTGTCTGCATGTGTGTTCGTGTGTGTGCGTATAATGTGTTTACAGGAAGCTATAAATTGCTGCTCTCATCACCTTCTAGCAGTGAAGGCTTTTTATAGACACACACACACACACACACACACACACACACACACACACACACACACACACACACACACACACACACACACACACACACACAAAAATACAGAGATATCCAGACATGTGAGTTTGGCAGAGAAGATGCATGCCTGACTGTCTGGATGCATGTCTGACCTTGGTACAATGCCTATTTCCCTGTGTGTGTGTGTGTGTGTGTGTGTGTGTGTGTGTGTGTCTTTCCTAAATAAGAGCAGAGGGAAAACATAAAAGAAAGCCTCTCATACTATAAATATCTGCCGGTGCTGTGGTTGCGGAGCCACTCTGTATGTGTGTGTTATGTTGTTTTTGAGTTCCAAGTGAAAGTAGGTGATATGTGAAGGCAAAACAACTAACGATTACTTTCATTATCGATTAATCTGTAAATTTTTTTAATTAATCATTTAGGTTATAAAATGTCAGAAAAATATAATTGTGAAAAATGCAGTTTCCCAAATATTTAACTTTGTCTGACCGTCCTACAGCCAAAAATATTGATTTTACAATCATGAAAGACTAGGAAAGCCAGTAAATACTGATTCAGTACATACTGAAAAAGCTTCACAATTGCCCCAGATCTCACCACTCTCTGCGCAGCACCCTCACGAAGGGTCCAGTCACACCCAATGCTCAACTGTAATAGTTTGGTGTGATAGGTTTCTTTACCAAAAACCTCACAATCTCATATTCTCGGAAGCTGGATAACAGAACTAGAAAAAAAAAAAAAAAAATTCTGTTGTTACACAAAAGTAAAATTTTGTATGAAACTAGCCTCACATCTGAAGCAATTCTCTGTCAGCAAGTCTCTGCTGAATACGGAAGGGTTTGTTTTTGGAAAATGGTTAAGTGTCATCTACAGTTTATAGTTGTGCTAGAACATGAAAACCCTGCACTTTGTCCTTTAATGCTTCGTCTTCTTGCTTCACTGAACTAAACTAAATTTCCTCCCCCAGGTGAGTCTGGATGCCCGGGTTCGAGAGGTGATCAACAGGAAGATGCAGGACCCGACGCCTCAAACGTTCGAAGACGCCCAGCTGCAGATCTACACGCTGATGCACAGGGACTCCTACCCACGATTCCTCTCCTCCAACATCTACAAGACGCTCGTTCACGGCGGCTCGCGTACCTCCTCTGAATCCTAGTCCCACACCGCCTCCCCCTCATCCTCCTCTTCTCTTGATCCTACACTTATAGGATTGACGCCAGACCATTTCATCGCTTCTCTCGCACACTCCTCCGGGTCCAGAACTTTGCAAAAATGATCAGACTCCTCCTCAGTTCTCTTCTCCTTTTCTCAGAATCCCAAATCTCTCCAATTACTGCCAAGACTTTCTTCTCTTTTTCGTTTCTCTCCCTCCTCTTTTAGTACTGTTGCCAAGACCTCCTCTCTTCTCATCTCTTCTCTCCAGTTGACTCTTCTCTTCTGTAGTCCATCTATTCTCTCTTTCTTGACATTTAATCTTCCTTTTCACTCTTGTTCCTTTCTCTTCCACCTTGATCCATTCTCTTCTCTCCAGTCTAGTGTGAAGGCCTTCAAAAGCAGGAAAATGAAAAAAGCGTTATATTAAAATAAATGGTCAACATAAAAAACATGGACACATTAAATATAAAATATCTGTCTTGCACTTATTGTGAAAAGAGGAAGAAAAAGCAGTTGAATTAAATTAAAAATATAATGTTGGGACAAGGGTTCAAGTTTTTGTAATATGGACAATATATCAAAATGTAACAATTTTTTATGTTAATACCCACAAATACTTCAAATGTCCACAGTTAGATTTTGTTAAGATGAAAAAACATATTTAACAGCAGTGAAACCATCATAAAGACACACACAATTTATATTCATGAAATTCTAATCAACATTTTCTCAAGTCTGAAAATAGAGCCGAGCAATGCTGTATTTTTAAAAGGCAGATAGTATTGAATTAAGTCAGTGATGATGTATGGACAGATTAGATATTAACATAAACAACATTTTGGATCAGTTTGACAAAAAATAAATCTTAACTGAAGGTCTGACAGGCGGAGACATGTGGACCAGTTTAAAAAAAAAAAAAAAAAAAAACTTTAACAATATATCAAGCTCCACTTACTGACTTATCCGAAGCTTTCAACCACATCACCCTGTCTTCCTCAGCGGCTGGTAGTTGCACAGTTTGACAGTTCAGAGCAAATTGAAAACTTTGGAATAAACCATTTAATTGACCAGTTAAAAAAAAAAAACAAAACAATAGATCCATTCTTTTTCTCTAGATATTAAGATATTTACTGAGTTGAGAATAAACCTGTCATTTCTTTCCTGGCCATGCAGATGTATCCGTCAGACTCAGTTTGTAAATGTCCTGGTTTCAACTTGTCCTTAAGATTCCTAAAGTTACTATCCTTATTTCTGTCATCTTCTTTTCTTCCACATCACTCCTTCTATTCATCCTTTCCTCCAGTGTTGTATCGTAGAGCCTCTTCTCCTCACTCACCTTCCTTGTGTTTCGTAACTTTTTCCCTCTTTTTCACCTCGACAACGACTCCTGAATGGAGCAGGAAGTGATCTGGGGTGTGAAAGTATTTCTTAGGGATATCATCTACTGTTACGTGGAGATGTATGTATTACTTTGGGAGATTTTCATGCATTTCAAAAGGGGAGAAATATTCTTCTGTGCCATGGATTCTTTGTGGATTTTTACCCCCCCCCCCATGACTGTCCAGTCAACTTTAAGAGCCAATTAAAGGTGGATGTTCCTGACCTCCGCCCACCTCATCGCCTTGTTTTTCATGCTTCGGTTGCCTCTACTTCTGGACTGACGGAAGGCAAAACAAAGAGATTGATGCTGGCTCATTCCCCTTCTTTCTCTCTTTTCTTTTTCTCTCTTTCAACTGGAAAACACAGGGTGCTTGTGCTACAAAGGACAACAAACTTCAGTTTCTTCTTCCTGTTTTTATTTCTCCCTCACCACTCGTTTGCTGGATTAATCATTTCACTCCTGTGATAAACAAATGGACGAACGGATGGATATCAATTCCTTCCAACTACTGATTTACAAACAGACAAGACGTCTATTTTTTAAGAGAAAACTATATGGAACATTTTAATTATGTTGATTTTTTTTGTTTGTTTTTTGTTTGTTTTTTTGTTTCTCCCATTCTCTCCCATTCCTGGATGTTTTGCAAGAAGAGGAGGATTCCTCTGAGGCTGTACTGATCCCCACCCAAAGCAACACCACAGACACTGCAATAAAACACTGGAGTTCAGAAAAACAACACACATACATGTGTACACCTGCACACATTTAAAAAATTTGTGTTACTATACATCCGGACGACTTTCAGTTTCAGCCTATTAGTACAATTCCTCCCCATTCAAGCCATTAATGTTTAGCAAAATTTGACAACCAAATTAGGAGAAAAAATTAATCCGTAGTAGAGCTGAATCAGTTAGTGGATTAATTGATCGGTTGGTCAACTTCTCAAATGTGAAAATTTGCTGCTTTATTTGGTGTTTTATATTATTCTAAATTGAATGTTGAATGTTTTTGGGATTTGGACTGAGACAAAACAAAATGTGAAGCACTTTGGGTTATCTGAACTTGTAGTTTGCATTTTTTTAGACTAGAACAATCAAAAAATAACTCAAAGATTAATCAGAAATAAAAATATATTTTAGTAGCAGCCATAAATCCAAGTCAAACTGCATCATCTATCAACTTAAAGCTGCACCAGGAAAAAAAGCCCATGTAAAATTGACACTATATCAACTTAATAAACAACTAACAGAACAAGGATCCACAAACAATTAATTTTTTTTCTGTATGACACGGAGGAAAACGTCTATATGTGGAGGAAGAAGTGAATCAAACTGTGATATATTCTCTATATGATATAAAATTTAAAACAATTCCTTCCCTATTCACCTCCGGTTACAAATACAGTGAAATTTATGCTGTGTTATGTCCTATGGAAATCATTTCCAATGTGAAAACACTGTTCAGACCATTTTGTAGTTGGTATTGAAAAAATAAATTTCATAAATATGAAAAATAAATTTATGAAATTTCCAATATTTGTATAAGTGTTTTCAACTTAAAAGTATAAGTTGTCCTAATGAGTATAGTAATACAAACACACACACACACACACACACACACACACACACACCAGGGTGGCCTACCTGGGCACTGCTGCTGCTGACCTCTGCCTTTGTGACCTCTCACCTTTGACCTCACCACTGTCCGTCACCCTCTCGGGACACCTGCTCCTGATTGGCAGCAGGAGGCCGCAGGGCTGATCTGTGGTTGGTCGATTCAGGAAGGGGAGTGGAAGGAAATCCCAGGTGCAAAAAAATATATAGATATATTAATGACAAACAACTATTAAAAATATATAGAGAAAAAAGAAGATACCTATTATGTGAGATGGGATGCTTACACCCAGTGCTTCATGGGAAATGTAGGTTGAGGAAAACAAATGTTAGTAGTTGTCTGCGGAGGCAGAGACAACAGATTTGAAAAAAATAGAAAAAAAAGAAGAGATGCCTAGGTCTTAACCAGACTGGTCACTCAGAATGCATTTATCTTAGTATTGTTAATGTTATTTATTTTATATTTTGTTAAAACTGTGATTTTAATTGTACATATATAAACGGAAACCCTTGAACATCCAGTGAGAAGCAGCTTCGTTTGTTTGATGTTTGTGTCTAAGTGATTTTTCTTTCATCAGAAGTTCCATTCCAGCAGCTCAAGTCCATTTCTTAGTCTGCCTTTCTCCACCCTGCCTTTGATATTATAATGGCTATAGAAATTTAGAAAAATAATAATTGTTGTTGTTTTACAGTTTGAGTCTTATTTTTATTAGCTGACAGGTACCAAATTTTTGAGGCTTATATCGTATTTTGTGACTTAAAAAAATATGATAATGATATAGTGTAAAATATTATATAAACATTTTTTACATTTTAACATAGATATAACACAATATATATTGTATGATATAACACAATATAAACAATATTGATTTTATTTAATGAAAATAAACTTGCAGGGGCTTTTTGGCAGAAAAACAAACCTACTCTAGTTACTACATTTTCTCTACTTATTTTCTATAATAAGAATAACATACCAAATGGTTGCTGAGATCTGGACACATGGGAATATCACTAAAAAGACATCCAACATGAGCATTCAGATAATAAAATGGACAAACTAATTTTGGAGATAAAACAAACATGAATAGGAAAATTATTACTCAACTCACTCCATCGTAAACATCAATCACATTTTACAGAACCACTTCCTAGTTTGACTTTGACCTACCATCCTCAGTGCAATTGTGTACACACAGTCTTCTTCTTGTGCAGTGATGAATTATTAGCAACATTTCAGGTGCACTCGCATTTAGTTTAAGCTCCAAATAAATTGATTTGGATATTCTGAATAAAACTTTTGGCTTTTTTCAGTTTCTCTTACCTTGATTGTTTGTGCTGGAGGTTTGAGGTTAACCCCAACTGCAATAAGTCCTGCAGCTACTCACTCAGTGTAGCCACTATGTAAATATGAGAACATAAACAGTGGTGAGGGAACTCTTAACAAGCATAAGTCAGACAAAGATCACACATTCAAAATCTATACACAGGAAACAGAAATATCAGATTAACAAACCAGCAAATTACTTAAGAAATCACAAGTGACTCACCGCTGCCTTGATGTAAGAACACGATATCAAAAAGAAAGCAGACAAATGTTCTCCCACTGGCCAAATCCTTATGGAACATAACATGGACTGATCAGCGTACATGGCATCGGCATTGCTATCGCAGTGGTAACAGTGTGATCCCTCACTGGCTTCCCATCCATTCTCTCCAAGTACTTTTTCTCTTGCATCTCATCACCACTGTGTTCCAGGTTCAATTTTCAAATTTTATTTTTTTCATTTTCAACAATCTTTGTCTACATTAGGTCTCAACTTGTGGTGTGTGGACCCTTAGTGGACCGTGAACACAAAGGGTTCAGTACTCAAAGTAAGGTTGAGAAGCAGTGACCTTAATAACCACCTCTCAATCGTGGACCTGCTGTTTGAGTTGATGTTTGAACTGAAAGTGAACATGAACTGAGCAGAGACAGACGGAGGCTTTGCAGTTGACTCTCAATGTTGATACTCTCAACAGTCAGTTCCTCAAGGAAACCCACACACAACACACACACACACACACACACACACACACACACACACACACACACACACACAAACCCTGTGAAACCGTGTATTTGTAGTTTGTGTGTCTGGTCTTTTTCCACAGTTGACTGTAACATGATCTGTTTGTGTTTGGGATTAATTTCTCGAAGTGACACAGACTCACACATACCTACAGACATACAGTATATATACACACACACGGTTTCATACTTAGTCATACCTCCACATTCACACTCACTCCCACACTCACTAACAACACTCATGTTTTTTATCCCAGCATTTTCCAAGTTTTCGGTTGATCTGCTTTGATAATTATCACTTTCAGAAGTTTCCCCTGAGCTGTGTCAGTGAGCACCTAGCTTTTTCTTCTTTTCTACTTCAAAAGTTTCCTTAACTCTTATTACTTTTAATATATATCACTCTACAGCTTTTAAACCATGAACAGTCAAGTCAACTAGTCCAGGTTCAAAAAGACTGATCTGCTGCGAGACTTGACACACAACATTACAGTAGATTATACACACTTACTGTAAACTTTCTACACGAGTGCTAAACAGTTTGGTAATGCTTAATTTCAGGAGTCCATCATTTCCCAATAATTAACCAATATTTTCTTATTTATGGAGAAAACAGAAGCAATGTTCTGAGCTTGGAATTTTGGTAGAGTTTATAGTCACTTTTGTTGAGTGTAATAAGCAGATGTTTATTCCAAATAATTGCTATAGCTTAAACTAACGAGTCCTTTAGTCAATGCACAGAGGTCAATCACCTTGAAAGGAAATGGAAAATAATGGCCACGTAAAAGGGATATCAAATTGTTTAGCACTATTGTTTGCTAATCAGCTAACGCACAAATTCCCCTAGTGTTACATTTTTTGAGTTTAGCTAGCCACAGTGACTAGCTAGCCACTTGTTTTTGTTTTTATCAGTTATGCTAACAGTATCCACCAAATTATTTGCCGAGATCACCAACATAGTGATATTGCTACTACAGTACATGTGGTAATATATGACTGATCAGAAAAACACACTGGTAGTTTAATTTGCCACAACTTCCATCAGTTCTGATGAAACATGTTGTAGCCAAATTTGGTTAAAATCAAGAGTGACTCTGTCAGTGTGTAGCCTGTCAGTTCACTAAGTGAGCCATATTTCTCTCCAGGCATCCTTTCTTCTCCACTGGATCAAGCCACCCTGCGTTCTGTCTAAACCACATGACCTCAGTCTGTTTTCCATCCAGGAAGAAGAGACCTAACAGAACCTGGTTCTACACGGACTCGAGAGTCTCTCCAACTTCCTCCTCTGTCTCTCTCCCATGCTCATGTATGGAAAGAGCTCAGCAGTGTTTCCACAACAAACACAACAGGAGCTTTCTCTGCTCTGCTTTCTCACCACTTTTCATCACCTCTGTCAACACGCTTGCACCACCAGCATCATTTGGAAAACTGAGTTAGCCACTCTTGTGTTTTTTTTTTCCTTAGGTCAATTGTGATTTATTTTATTTATTCTTTCAGTTGTAAATCTGGTTCAGGTGACACAGGCATTTCTGGTGTCATCCCAATGATGAATATCATCAACAGTGATTGTGTTTACATGTTCTGTGTATTTAACCTCAAACTTAAACACACATGGATGTATCACATCAACAAAAATACATCACATGAGCCAACATCCACCATTCAGTGTAATTAAACCCAAGTTTAACATATACAGTGTTATACTGTCACACGACCAACTCTGTGATCATACAAGCATCTTTATGACATGAATGCTTCATTGTAAACATGGTTATCTTTACCATCTTACCATCCATCCCATATGTCAAGAACACATCAACTAACTCCAACATATCTTTGGCATTTCTTGTTACGTATTTGTCGATAAATGATAGACACCGACATCTGAAATAAGCCCAATATCTACTAAATCAGTCCTAAAATCCTGATTAAATGGTTTTCTGCCAACTATAAAAAAAACAAACGAGCCAAAAAGAAAAAAAAGAATACAGTGATTTGACGATTGGTTCTTCATCCAAGAGCAACTTTAATAGAAATGTAAAGGGCAAAATATGTGGCAGCAAACATGGCAAAGAAAGGCACATCCACTGTTTCCACAAGGCATAAATGTGATTTAAATTTGGCTTAAAGCTTCATCTATCATAAGAAATAAACTCTAAGTGTTCCATACAAAACAAATGAAACCAATAGACAACATGAACTGGCATATTTTTCTCCAAATATATTACAGCTTTTAGTTTTATATATACATACATATATATATATATATAAAGAAATTATACGAAAATAAAAAAGAAACTAAACTCATTTTTTAAATCCAAATTCAATTCACTTTAGTTTGCTTCATGATGGAATAATATACACACATCCTCTTCAACAGAACTGAAAGACAGAAAGAAAGACTGTGATTAAACTCTTGAAAGTTGGATCAGTAAAAACTTTCACTTCTCAACAACTTAAAAATGCTAAAACCCTAGAGTTAAAGGTGCCCTGTGGAGTTTTCTCTTAGACAGACGGTTATGTTTAAATTCAGTTTTACTCACCAAACTCTTTGTATCATTTGCATCCTTCAGGTGTATATCCAAACGTGTTGAATCTTTACCGTCAATTAGCGGATTAGCAGGAAACCAGCAGCAGGTTGTGAACCACTGTGCCAATTTTCTTGCACTGACCAATATGTAAATGCATGATATAAATGGGCATACACATGAAACAAACAAATGGTGGTCCAATTGTTAAAAACGTTGCTCCATAGGCATGTTAGTAGTTAAAAAAAAAAAAAAAAAAAACTCCACATGGTACCTTTAACTTGTATTTCTTGCCTCCAGTTTTCAGCTACTAGAGGTAGAATGTCAAAGCTGCTGAGCCTGAGTGGAGCTGAGGTGGGATGAACCATCTTTGTTTTACACATTTTACTTAAAATACTTATATAATATTTGCCAAACTTAGAGCATTTGCCAAGATTAAAATTGCACTAATCAATAATTTCATATATTAACAATGGATCAAGTAAATTTGGAATGTGAAAGATGTTGCTTGTAGTGATGAATTCACCAACTCTGCCGGTCTACTGAGCTTTTTAGCCTCTTTTAGCTCATTGTTTTGGTTTCATGGCACATACAATGTTTGGTTCAGTCACAGCGCCCTCATCAGCCCCATCCTCAGAGAGCTGTTTACATCTAACAAACTCTGATAAACCCACTCTACGCTCCATGCTCAGCTCCAAAAACCAGACAGAAACACTTGAGACTTGAGTGGTGAAGAAAGTGGAACATATAGCAGATAAAGAGCCAGATGTTTCTCTCTGGACTTGGTGGAGACCAAAACAGAGCTAAAAAAATTGAACATACATTCATCAGGTGAACACATTCACAAAAACATCATAATAAGGTGGATATCCTGTATGTTAGTGTTCTGTTTTCAGGTTGTTCCACTGCCCTCAACTCACCAAAATAAAGAAATAAAATAAATAAAAAGAAAAATCAGTGCAGCATTAAATTTACAATAGATTAAGCACCTTAGCTCTGGTAACTTGAATCTTTAAACGTTTTACCATAAATTTGCTCATTAATTGCTTTAAAGCTGAATAAAACGGGCCCTTTCGTGTGTTTTGTTTGTTGTTGTGTTAAACCTTTGCATCTCCAAAATGTAAACCAAAAAAATAAATAAATAAATAAACATTATCACTCATGAGATCATGAGAAAAAACAAAAAAAACAGCCTTGTTTGAAAAGATGAGAGCTCCTAAGGTTAAAAAGGTCATAAAAATTTATGTAGCTTTATTAGAATTATTTATTTCGGTTCACAATGCTGAAGCCCACCACAATTTTTCATTCTCTCAAGTGTCTAAGAGTGTTGAACTAACAAAACAGATTACCCACACACCATCAGCTTCGCAAATTAGTTGCTTCACCTTGACCTAGAGCCAGGAGCTAAATAAGGGAGGGAGGAACCAGAAAAACTGCGTGGAGAAGGAAGGAGGAGTAAACACAGAGAGGAAAAGGATAAGATGTAGGGAGGAGGGTGAAAAGGACAACGAATGAGGTGTAAGATGTAAACAAGAGAAGAGGGAGTGGAAGGACGAGAGTTGAGACGTATAAGAGAAAGACAAAGACGAAAGGAAGAAGATGGAGACAAAGAAGGAAAGAAATAGACATAAAAATATATATAGAAAGAGTGAGAAAGGCATGAAGAGGAAGCAGAAGTTCTGACTGAAGGTGAGTAGAGGCAGGGCTGTGAGGAAGAGGAGGAAACTGAAGCGCAGTCTCTGCTGCCATCTTGTGGTGAACGTTTGTTACTGACAATTTTCCCTCCATAACTGGTGGAAGAAAAGAGAAACAAAAGAGCTGCTGTTTACTTATTCGGTGAGGCAGCTTTCCTCAACATCCCTTGCGTACACCACATGTTTTACTTCAGCTGGTCCTATATTTCCCACAGTGCCTTTCAACTTTTGTGTTGAAAGTTTTCACAAATTTCATAAAACCAACAGGTCACAGATGAATAAGCAGTAATCTTTAATGTACATATTGAGTTTGAAGTTGTTGTTTTTTTTTTTTTTTTAGGTGTCTGTTTATTCCTGTTATCCAAAAGGTGAGGGTGGGATTCTTTATTTCAGACATGCACAGTTTGCTGTGTATCATATGGATCCTCTGTGTACTTACTTCATGTGCGAGTTGTCTCGCTGACATGTTTGCAGCATTAGTCATTTATCAAATATGTAACTGTTAATAATGGTATTTCTTTACCTTCCATCGGTTGCCACAGCTATTACACAACACAAAGGTCGTCATGGGCTCATCAGCGCTGCGTGTCTGCACCTATAACATACGCCAAGAGAAAAAAAGTGAGCGATTTTAGTCTAAACTGTGTCCAGTAACGGTTGTTATTTTGTGTGTGCATGTATGTGTGTGTGTGTGTGTGTGTGTGTGTGTGTGTGAGAGAGAGAGAGAATCGATACCTGTGTGTACGTGCAGCTCTTTCCGTGACACTTGTTGCAGATGAACATGTCTGTCTCACTTCCTCCGACCTTCGACAACTGATGTTCTCTGATGGACTCTTTGGTCAAAGCCTCTCTTATCTGCTTTAGCTCTGCACTCGCCATCTCCTACACACACACACACACACACACACACACAAACACAAACACTTTGAATGCTTTGTCTGAAACAACCAGTTGCATTCAGGTACACAAGATTCAAATATTTACAGAGATTAGATACATTCTCTGATATTTGCAATCAGGGACTGGGTGGTCCTAGATCTGTTAACCAGAAAAAGCTGTGGCCTTCATCTACACACACGCACGCACACGCACGCACGCATGCCCACACCCACACACACACACACACACACACACACACACATACACACACACACACACACATTACTAATTAGAACCTTCATTGACATAATACAATGTTTAGTCTTTTACTCTAAACTAATCTAACCATGAAGTCACTCTCAACATAACACTAAACCATGTGTGAGTGACTGACCTCTGCCGTCATGCTGGCGATGCGTTGAGGTGAGATGTTTCCACACAGGACGTTGCGCCGCAGGTCGGGATTCTTCTGGTCCTTCAGGTTTGAGATGCGGCTTCGTAGACGACTTTTATACTTCATGTCTGTAGACTTAAACTCCTGGAAGATCTGTGAGCACGGCGAGCAGTCAAAGACACAATACACTCACAACTGATGAGCCAATACCCAGTGGGTATCAAATAATTCATTTAGCATCTTTCTTTAGTGTCATAATCTTGCACAATATTTAGCTTGAAGCCCGACTCAAGGAGGATTAAATGTGTATAGGCACAGTAGCAGCCCCCACGAGGCTGTAATGGTCTGTTGGATGGACATAAAATAGAAAGATGGCCTAACTAAAGATCCAAAAGTTCCCTCACACTGCTAATATAGCTCCAGTGTTTATCTATCAAAATAAAACACACCCTGTCAACACATTCAGATTAAGATCTTCCATTCAGGTGTCAAGTTCTGTTCTGTTTGTGCATGTGTATACTGTTTAATGAAAGTCAAAGTGTTGATCGTGTGAAAGGATATGTTCTTCAATTTGTGCTGCAAGGTGCTCGCAGTCAACTCCAATGGTCTTGTGGTCATCTGGAACACACACAAACACACACACACACACACACACACACACACACACACACACACACACACACACACACACACACACCCACACACACACACACACACACACTTAGCTTTCTGCACGTTTTCAGCTTTAGATACTAATTAATTTACATTTTTACAAAACTGCAAAGCAAAATAATGACACTGATGAAAAAGACTTTTGTGGTAAAAAAAAAAAAAACGCAAAAAAACCTAAATCTGAAGTTATTGATTGATTATTGACGTGTTTAAATTACTTACATAACATGCATTTGTAAACAAAAACACATCTGCTGCCGCCATCTGAAGCTTCAATACAGACATCCAAACATTGTGTTCAGACAAAACATCAAACTGACATTAAACCTCTGTCTAAGCTGCCGTCACGTTTTTGTTTTTTAGGTCTTCTCAACATTTTTGCATTGTGAAAACACCGTGTACAGACACACATCTCCTCACCGTCGGTCTGCAGCGCGGCCACCAGCAGCTCTCGACACTTGTTCCGTACGCTGTCGGTGGTGACGGGGGCGGGGGGGAAGGAGGTGACCCGAGCGGGAAGGGTGGGAGAGGTTGGGGTGGTGGGGGTCTCCCCACACTTCTTACTGCTGACAAGGAGGAGAGAGGTTAAGTAGGGTTTAGCAGGGCGAGACTCAACTCTGTGAATCTTCAACGATGACTTCCTCCTGGAGCAGTAGGTGTCATCACTGTGCGACACACCTTTTTTCGCTGCTGTCACAGTCTTTGGAAGTGGATGATGACCTCACAGGAGAGCCTTCCCCCTTCTTCTCCTCCGACTTCCCCTCTGATCCATCTGTGGGGTGATAAACAGAACACACACACACACACGCACACGCACACGCACACGCACACGCACACACAGACACACACAGACACAGACACACACACACACACACACACACACACACACACACGGAGCAATTAAGGATATGATTTAAATATTGATTTATAAAAGGTCGCCCACATCACAGCACAATTTCTCTAACATCATTTTTTCACATTAGGCTTATACAGACAAATTGATGAGCAGAAACTAAGTACAATTTGTTAAATAATCAATTTATCATAATTAACACATTAAATTGATAATTAAAAAAAAAATATTAATTCAACCCCTAATTCACATACAGTTATACTTCTGTATTTGTCACTGACATAATAAGAACAACAGAACAAAACGGCCCTGGCTCTAAAACTCTAATGGGTCCTCACAATGATAGAGGTACAAGAGCACATAACACACGCACACACATGCGCACACACACACATGCGCACACACACACATGCGCACGCACACACACACACACACACACACACACACACACACACACCCAGCAGTTTCTTCCAGGACTTGATGAGAGCTTTGGCCAGAGTCTGAACCTCTTCATCTGAGCTCTGTTTCCTCACCGCGTTCACTGACATCCCGACTCTGGTGGACTACAGACAGAGAAGAAGAGAGAGATCAGAAACAGAGGGAGGGAAAGAGGAAATACAAGGTGTCCATGTAAAGAAATGTACACAAGTTTTTCTGTTAATATAATCCATAGAAGCTCTGGAGATGAATGTTTGACATCTATTCTGTTTAAATGTGCATACAGAGTCAAAAGATTTTGTCTTTAGCTTTAACAGTAACAGTTCAATCATTCCCACAGTAGTTCTGTTGCAGTGCATGCAGCTGCACGCCCTGTGCACAGAAATGTTGTTCTCGCTGACAAGTACACACAAAGATACACAAACATGGGATATAAAAGATGAAGCAGAAACAAAGCTGATGCTGTGAATGGATGTTAACCTGGATTTGAACTAGTACCCGGTTTGTTTGTATTCCAACACTGACAATTCAGATGTTTGTGTGGTTACAGTGTTTGTGATGGCAAGATGTGAAGCGTTTCACTGCATGTGCTCACAAGTGTGCTCTGTTGCGTTTTGTGACCACATTCAGCAGTGATGTCACAGTGTGTGGACACACCCTGGAGTACACTTCTACATAACTACAGCGAGGTAAGAACCTAAACCACTGCTGGATGTCCATGCCTTGCTTTAACATTCATAGTAGCAGCAGTGCTAGTAGTATACTAGTTACAGTAGTAGTACAGGTAGCAGCAGTGACAGCTGGTCTACATCAGGTTGTGTCTGCTTTCAGGTGCACTTGGCAGAAGGGTGGAGTTAATTACCTGCAGGGTCTCCAGAGACATCTTGATGTTCTTCAGTTCCCTCAACATGTCGAGAGCACCGTCCTAGAGACAAAACAACACACAACGGCCTTCATATTAATTTCTTACCCAGTAAATGTGCAGCCCACTCACCCCACTGCAGTATATGAACACATGGTGGATGAACAGAATGATAATGCATGGGTCTCCGCCAGATTTGTGTCTGTTTAATTACCCAGTCAACTCTGAGTTATGACATACATAACATATACATCTGTACATTCAGGTTGACTTATACTTTCTAGGGATGCAATTATTGCAAATCCACACCCATAAATCCACTTAGAAATCATAAAAAGAAGATGCTCCTTATAACTCCAGAATTTGCCTCAATTAGCACAATTTTAAGATTTCCTCAGTATCAAAATCATACAGTGATATTTGTCAATACATCCCTGGGTACACTGCAAACAGGAAGTCCTGTTTGCTAACTCGGCATACTTTTAATGGCACCAATTTGCCAAAATTTAAACAAATATAGGCTAACATGACAAGGAGTAATGTCAGAAGTAATAAAATCTACTGCACTTATAAGTATTTTTTTTCATCAGTAAGACTCAGAATGTCAAAGGGTCAAGATGCCATTTTTTACTGCTCATGAAGATTCATGGTTTCTTCCCATTAAAACAAAATTCCCTCCCACGGCTGAACAGCTGTCACCCAGATGCCCTGAAATTCAATGTATTGTAAAAGGTTACCAAGAGAGTGATGGAGCCACAAGATCAACTCTTAGCAAGAGCAGCGTTCTCTGGGTGGAGCTCCTCCTCACTGTTGTTGTCCTGCTCCGTTTTTAATTTGTCACTTAATGATACCAGGAAATTTTATTTTGGTAAATGAAACACAACAGCTGCACAAGTCAGTGATATGGGATGGGGTCTTTGCAGCAGCTGTTGTGATGCGATTTAGGCCGGAGAAAAGGTGATGCAGTAGGTTTACATTAAAGAAATTCAGTGGAAACAGGGGAAAGAGAAAGAAAGAAATTACAAAATGATATGACAAATGAGATGGTCCAGCAGTGAAAAAAAGCTGGACGTGTTCCCACTTTGCCACATAAGCGACACAGATCCAAGGAGACATGTAGAGATAACATGACCTAAGGATGGATAGAGTTGGAAAAAGACAACAGGAACCAGATCTGGCTTTAGAGAGGGAGTCAGATGAATGAGAGGTGAGGGAGAGCAGGGCGAAAGAGAGGTGAGGAGGAACAGGAATAAAAGCAGCAAAGGAGAAGTGGCTGTTAAAGAAAGAGGAGATGAGTGACAAACTGTGTTGTATTATTCATGCATCTTTTCCCAAATCCCGCTGTGACATTTAAGACAAACAACATCACTTCATTTCTGTGCAAGCTGTTAATGTGAGACCAAGAGTCCCCAAACAATGTTTCTTCCCCCCAAGCTAAATTAATAAAAAAATAGATAAAAAAAACTTTCCATTATCATCATTCCGCAATCACTGAGAATTATACATAAGGCTGGTTTCTGCTGCTACGGTTAGCCTCAGAATGATGCATTGGATTAATTAACTGTTTGCATATCACTACCTTCTTTAGATCTGGTAAAGCAAAGAACAATTTCACACTCAGTCATGTCTGTTACACTGGCAGTGTGTTCAACAACAGTGAAGGAGAGGGTTAATACGGTTTACATCCACCCGCAAACTAGTGTAACAATGGTTACTCTTAGCGTTAACTATAAACTTAGTTCTTACGTAATCAATCTACATTGGGGTCATGGCTAGAGCAACGACACGGGGACAGCCTCTTTAACACTTTAATGTCCACTTCCAAAGTCGGACAACTAAACACCGATAGCCATCATACATCACCTCACTGCCTTACATCATATCACCCCGCCAATCTTAACACTAACTTATCACTAACTTTACAGGCAAAGTGGATTATGTAGTTTCCAGTCCTAAATGAGGGAACAAAATACAATCTATATGTACTGTCTCTGTACTGAAGTTGCCATTACTTAAATTCTTCCAATTCTCTCAATAAACCTGAAAAAAAAGAGTTAATCTACAAAATAAATCTTTACAAAAATAAATCGCATCTTACACCATCATCTAAAGTCAAACCTCAATCAACAAATTTCTAAAGCAAAAACATGAATGAAAAGAAATCCCGCTCATTGCTGATAGAAAAACTTGTATTATTACACTCCCACAACATGTTGATATTGCCTTTTTTATTTCACTCAGTCTTCTTCCTTCCTATGTTACCCACAATTCAAAGTGACAGCCAAGAATTCAGTCAGAGATTTAAGGCATGTTATGCTAGTAGCAGCTAATCAAATCAATGCTGTGGAGCTGGCTAACGAGGTCTAGTTAACTCACCTCTGTTTATATATCAAACTTACAAACATGTACAATATACTAACAACATGATACAACACAAATGATAAATATCTCACAACACACACACTATCAATGTGTGCTTGAGTAGTATAGCAACGGCAAATACGTGGTGTTGCTAGCTTGACTTTCCTATGTTATTTAGCTGTTGCTTGCTACTCTTTTCATATTCGGGGGGGCTCACTCCACCCTGTGGCCAGCGGTTGGAAATACAGCTCTTCACATTAGAACACAGAACAGCCAATTCATCCAAAATCACAAAATCATAGTTTAACCAAGCAGCAAAAAGACAGTTATCAGTTATGTGCTGAAGCTAGAGGAACAAGATTTTTGTTTTTTTTTTCCTCAGGGGTTGGTGGAGATCAAACCAGAGCAAAGGGGAAAGTGAATTTTTGAGAATTAGCCGACATTCATCGGGTGGACACAAATACGACTCCAATAGGATGATAAAGCTCTGTGTCAGCTGGATGTGTAAACAGGCAATTCTTTTCTACCTTAACCATAAGCACTTGATATATAATAATATCAAGATTATCATTAATCAGAGGTGGACAAAGTACACAACTCTATTAACTGAGTCAAAGTATAGATACTCCAGGTCAAATATTACTCCTAAACAAGTGAAAGTTGCTCAGTCATATTTTTACTTGACTTAAAGTAATGGAGTAGTTGATTTTAAAAATATTTAAGAATACAGTAAATTTTTAATATCATTTCACCAACATTTTTCATTTTTTCAACAGTGCATTTACAGAACCAAATGACTCTGAAACAACCTAGTGAATGAACTGACTGACTGTAGAACCTGTAGAATAAAAAGCTTGTAGAATATAAGACAAACTGCTACGAACACAGCGTATGGCCTAATCGCATTTTTGAAAATTAAAGAAAACTCATTCAACTGACTAAAAGCTGCTTCAAAGTAACAAGTACTTTATGAAATGCAGTGGACTGTTACAGTACAGTACAACATTTTTCTTTCAAGTGTAGTGGAGTAAAAGTCATAAGTTTCCAACAAAGTAATACTCAAGTACAGATACTTTTTAAGTACAGTATTCAAGTAAATGTATTTCATTACTGCCCATCCCTATCAATATTATCAATTTATAATATCATTATCTTTGTTGGATTTTATGTTGTTTGGGATGTCTTTCTTCCCCTTGAGCTCAAAAATGGCCAAATGCTGCTTGAAATAAAAAAGGGACATTAAAAAGTCATTGGGGAAAAAATTATAGGTTCATACAAGTTCATTCACTTTTTTTTCATTTAAGTTTTGGTTTTTCTGCCTCTACAGAGTTCAGAGGTTGAAGCCATCTAGTGTCCACACTGTTCTGCTGATGTGATGTGTTGACAGTCAGTCAAGACCCCATTTATGACTCAGTCAGTAAACAAGAAAACAAATAAATATATTGAAACTAAATCAACACCCTGTTAAATGTATTTTTACTTCAACTGGAGGCAGAAATTATTTAGTTTTTGTGCCATTTCTGGAAATGTAACTTTCATAATGGATTTGAAGTTATCAAATTAGCACCCAGTTTTCAAGTGTCACTGTAATGATCTTGTTTATGATGATTTCATTCCATATAGATTAAAGCCAACAAACCTCTCAGCTTGTGTCCAACTGTCCCAAGGTTTCTCATCTCATCAGATTTCAAAATAAAGTGCAAACAACACTTCCAAAATTAAAATGATTTAAAAAAATTCCCTTAGTCATCTTTTAACGTCTGTTTACTTTTCACCTCTATAAAATTTGGATGACTTTTGGAGCAAACTGAGGTGAATTGACAGGATAATTGACTCCAGGTGTGGATGTTTGAATTGGCAGCTGTGATTTACGACCAATTATTTCCAATCATCACAAGAAAAGGAAAAAAAAAAAAAACAGCAGCAGCAGCAGCAGCAGCAGCAGTGTGAGATTTTCAGTACAGATTGGTCCAGATACAGATTATAGATAGAGTCTAAATCCTCCTGCACAGGAGCAGCTAAAACACACTCACCGTGTTTCCAGAATTTTCCCTCTCTCAGCAGTTAAAGGTAGAGCCCATCACCTGATCGCATTTTTCTGCACATGCAGCAACTGTTGTTCCACTCACCGTATTCTTCTTGTGCACCATTTTATCCAGCTTTTTGGCGATGCGCTCCACTTCCTGGTTTTTAGCCATTTTGAGCGGAATCCTGTCCGTCAGCTCTGCTCCTCTGCAGCGGAGAAAACCTCCACCGGTGTGGAAGCAAAACTCTCCCAGTCTGTCTCTCTCTCTTTGCCTCTCTTTGCACAGTCAGTCTGCCTCCTTCTCTCCCAGCTGCTGCCTCCCTCTCGTTTGTTGTTGTGTGACACCGTGGGACGCTGGGAGTTGTAGTTTTCTTTTAGGATCTTTCCAAATTCAGCCTGGAACATCCTGGAAAAACCTGAAGAGACTCAGAAATATTTCACCACTTTTCTAACATTTTGTAGTCTGCCATCAAATGCATAGCCTATCAAATTAAAAGTGTGCTGTACTCACTTCTTTGAGATGTGTTTCAGCTTGTATTTGATGGAGTGATGGAGATAAGGATTTGACTGCTGGTAACTGCCCATCTACAAAATAAAAACACTTGCAAGTGAGTCAGATCGGATGAGCTGCTTGTGGTGAAAATCTAAACTTGTGACACAGTTTTCTGTTTCAGTGTTTCCATCAAAAAAACACTATCATCCGATTTATATTTCACAATCAGAAAAGAAAACAATTCTCCAGAAATCTCTTCTCCCCTTGTGTGTACAGCCTTTTCACTCCTGATTTGAACACAGATCTTTAACCGCACACATGGTTTGCATGAGCCCACACATCCTGAAGAAACATCATTTCATTTTGACTGTTTTTTATAGTTTGAATGACACATTTCTGAGCTTGAATTTCATTAATTTATCCACATCAGTCTATACCTTACAACCAAAATATAAATCCCTCTTCAGGACTAAATTGTATTTCTATGGGTGAAAAAAAACAACGTGGTGACGTAGAGCCACATCTGTATTATTTCAGAGAGCAATTTAAGCAACGATTTATTTGTGATAATGGTGAAATGCACAGAAGCTGATTGGAAAATGAAAACAAGCAGGCTGCTCAGAAATAACTGACTGAATGGAAACATTTGTTGAATAACTGTGAAGTCCGTTTCAATTCCTCCAGAAGAAGATGCGATTATGATTGACGCTGATAGATCCTTTCCATGTATTTACTGCGTTCTTCCACTAGATGTCAGTGTCGTAAAGTTATTTTATACTTGGTGAACACTAGGAATATTAATGAACAGTGTACAGGAAACTGTAAAATACACCATTAATTTGGAAACAGCTTCATTCTACACAGAGAAAACAAGGCACTGCCCACTTTGGTCCAGTGCAAGTATGAAACTGTAAAGCATCATGTAACCCAGTAATGGGACCATTATGACTTAAGGTTTGGCTTTATCATTGAATATTTGCAATGGACAACTGAATTCTTTATATATTATTTTTTGGTCTTCAACTGTAGCATTTAAAAAAATAGTAACAGTGATCTTTATTTACTAAGAGCAGCAATGGCTCAAGTGGTAAGTGGCAGGTTAGTTACCAGTCACGGCTTTAGTGGTTTGATCGCTGGCTCCCCTGAACCTAGGCTGAGTCACGAAGGATATCTGATAAAAATAACCTGTGCCAGACCCAATGTGCCGGTGGTGATCCATGGTGGTGACCGCTCACAGGAGCAGCCGGAAGACAAAAACAAAGTTTCTTTACAGAACACTTTTCATATATAGTTGAAAATAAATTATAAAACCAAATATGACGTTTGATCAATAAGATTAGATTCAATTTTTTACAAGTAACATAAAATATAAAATCAAATTCACAAAATTCTTGTGATAGAAAATACAAGAAATAATAAAAAAAATAATTTTGATTATACAATTCAAAAACTCAAATGAACTCAGAATATGTGGTGCCAGTAAAACTAGATTTAAAGAAGAAATTAAAAGATGATTCTGCTTATCCAGCCTCATTTCCTTGTTTCATTCAACATGAAAAAAATGATTCTGTATTTTGTTAATCTGTTGGTAGATTCCAATGGTTCTCATTTGGTATATTAAGAATAAATAACCTACATATCTTTTCTGTTCCATGACCCTCTTCATACTCCCCATATTTTCTGACAGTGTCATATGTATCGGACATGCTGTGTGACAGTTCTATTCTACATTCAAGAGTTTAAAAACTTCAAACTGTAAATGTTATATAAGAACACAAACAAATACCAATATATATTTGAAACATCTTGCACAGTAACACAGAACAGTCAGGCCAGCAAACAGAATGATGCTAAATTCAAATTGAGGTTCAGGACCCCAATAAGGGTCCTGACACAAATGTGAGGTGTCACAAGATGATTTATGGAATAAGTCAGTAAAAGATTTTCGCTACACAAAATGATTTGAACTTTTTCTGACTTTTTTCAACCTTTACTTTTTTCTTATGAAATACTGGATATTTTGGAGCCTCAAACTTCAAATGAAACAATCTAAGAAGGAAAAATCTCTCCAAATCTCTAACTGAACTGTCAGCAGTCGAGTTGCATTGTGGGTAAATGTAGGTGCAGACGAAGGTGTAGGTGGAATGAAAAAAAAAAAAAAAAAAAGTCATATCTCTGGTTCTGCTTCATTGATTCTAATCCTGTTCATGACTGTTAAGCAGTGTTGTAGGAGTGTACTGTTGAATCTGAGAACTCTTTAAAGACACGAGCTGTGACAAGGTGTTACTTCATTTTAAGGAGTCACAGCCAAAACAGGTAAAGAACCATTCCTCTAATAGCAGCATCGATGCACGCCGGCTGACAGGGGCTAGTGATTTATGTCAAGAAAGAGCAAAAAATAATTGGAAATGTCCCATATGTTTCATGTAATTTACAACAGATTACATTTTTAAACAACCTTCCCCCCGCACTGCCTGCCAGCAACAACTCACTGAGAGTCGACTGTAGTGGTTCTGTCTCCTTCTAAATTTAAATCAGACTGTCCTCCCTCCATTTGAGACGAGTAAATAATTGTTGGAGAAACTTTTTTTTTTTTTTTGTCTCGTGAAGTCTTGCAGCTTGATGTCGGCAGCCAAGAATCTCCTCCAGCTGAGGATCTGCAGAGCAGAGCTGGCAGTGACATCAACAGCTGCTGGATGAGATAGCTGCCAGTCTGAGTGTGTGAGTGTGAGTGTGTGTGTGTGTGTGTGTGTGTGTGTGTGTGTGTGTGTGTGTGTGTGTGTGTGTGTGTGTTTACTACAGAGAACCTGGAGAGCTCGGAGGTATGCAGCAAGGGAGAAAAAGATGCAGAGGAGAGAAACTCATCCAAGAGATGACTGAAAGGAAACAAAAGCAGCTTCTTCCTTCTCTTTTCTTCTTTTCATCATCCCCCTCTGCTTTTCTTTTTCCCTTCCCTCCCCCCTTCTCATCTCCCACCCCCCTCCTCACTGCCTGCTTCTTCCCTTGATCCTCTGCTCATCAGATTTCTTATTTGGTCTCTCTCTCTCTTTCTCCTCCCTTTGTCATCTTTTCTTTTTCTTTTATCATATTTTTTTTGATTTTCATTCTTTCTCCTCATCTCTGATCCTTCCCATCTTCCATTTTACCATCACCCCTCCCTGGTCCTCATCTCTTTCTCTATCTCTCTTTCTTTATTCTCATCTCTCCCCTTCCTTCCTTCTTTTCTTTTCCTTTCCATATCCTTCATCTCTTCTTTCATTTCTTCCTCTTCCACCTTGGTCTCATCTAATCTATTCTCTCCCCTCCCTCTCTTTATAATCCTCTCTTCTTTTTTCTTCTTCCCCTCATCAGTTCTCCTCTCATCCTCTTCGCTCTTGTTCCCTCATTGCTGCTTATCTCATCCTTTCTTTTCTTTTTCCTCATCCTGTTTTCTTTCCTGATTTGTTTTTTTTCACCTCTCCTCTCACCCCCTCTTCCTCTCTTTTCTCCCTCTACAATATTTCTCCTCTCTCCTAATTCTTCCTCTCATCAATTCTCACTCACTTTCTTTTTCATCCATTTCTCTCATCCCCGCATCATCTTTCCTGTCCTCTCACCTTCTGTCTTCTCATCATCCCTTTGACTTTTTCTTCTTTTGTCTCATGTCTAGTCTTTTTGGCTTTTCCTTTCCTCTCTCCCGTCTTCAGACTTCTCATCTCTTCTCTCTTCTTTTCTCTTTTTCCTCTCCTTTCTTTCTATTCTTAACTTGTATCAGTTTGAACCAATGAGTTCTTGAATTCTAACTCTGTAAAGAATCAGGTTAAAGTTAAAACAATAATGCTGCTCATTTTTGTTGATTTGACGTTTTTACTTTATAAACCCTCGATTTCCACTGACGCTGATTCATCAAGTTTATTCTGCAGAAAGTGAAGAGGTACAGAGAGGGTTTACTGTAGCTGCAATGGGAGTTTTATTTAGCTTAAATATTTTTTCACTTCCTACATAATAAAAAAAAAAAAAAGTATATTGAGCTGAATTACATTTGTAAACCGACCTTCTTCGAGTTGTCTGAGACTCTAGTAGTATACAGTACTTCACAGTTTGTGAAGTGGCAGCGATGGGGGGCTGGGGATGGATGGATAGGAGGAAGAGGTTCTAAAAGAATAGCCCGCAGGATCTCATTAAAAAACAGAAGAAATTAATGTGAACTATTTAATTTTCATCTGTGTGAACTGACCTTTGAGCTATAGCTCTTATGAAGTGTGAACTTCCACTTCCATATAATTCAATAATATAATGTAAGATTCTGAAATGGGCCATTCTTTATGATGAGTACCGAAAAAATCCTCCCTTTTTTCCAATTATTATGGCGGCACCGATCAGGAAATGCTGGGAGAGAGAGTTCGGGAATGACATGCAGCAAATGGAGTCAAACCGGGTCAAACTCGCTGCTCAGGATAGTTGAGCATTCGGCTCTCAGGTTTCCCTCCAATAAAATCATTTTGACTACAGAGTCACTAGCCGCGTTTCCACGAACCTGCTTATTGTGCAATTTGAAATTAAGAACTAAAAAACGAGTAATGTCGCAAAAAAATGTACATGCTTGCATGAGGTGGTTTGTCAGCCTTTTCGACAAAGCAATATTTCGCAAAAGTGAAATGGAAACACTTTTTCCGCAGTTAAGTCAAATGACATGACTTGAGTAGTCACATGACATCCAAAAACATTGCAAACTATTTTCTACCAAAAAGCCCTGATGCGCGGCCACTGCCGGATATAAGCCTTTCCGTCATTATGTTAAATACC